ACACACACACATATATATATATATATATATATATATATATAAACCACCAACTTGAAATAAGATGTCAGTAACGCACCCAATAGAAACTGCGAATGAGTGTGACGACCAAACGTTGTTATTTGCCGTCTTTATTGAAAAATCGGTTTTGCTTCACGATGTATAGTACGTGATAGTATTGTTATTGTTACAGTTAAAGTATTGTAATATCATTTCTGTTTGTAATTTCTGCACATCTAGTTAGTTGACAACGCACATCATAATCGGTTCACGTCTGAGAATGTTTCCCATGGAACATCTTGCGGCGACCCTCCATGTGAGCCTACGCAAGTACTGACTTCAAACACCAATGGTCACTTGATGTCTCTTCTAAGCACACCGACTGCTGTAAACAATTCCTTGGAAACGGGGGAATCTCGGATCTCTGGAAACACTCAAAATTTGCCCGTTTTCTCCACACGCTCGAATTTTGCGAGTGAAGGGACTTCAGCGTGAGTAAATCCAAGTACCGGACCACTTATAACTTATAATTTCACTATTTTCCCACCCACCAATAGCGAATCTCAACGGAAATAGTAAAGTTAAGTCAAGGTATTTCGGAGTGATAAAAACCCAGTGCATCGTTTGAGGTGTATTTGTCAATAGCACGATACTGTCGGTCAAGGTGAAAATGAACCAACTATCGGTTATTGCGTGTAACCAAATATTCTTTTGAAGAAAGAAGTATCTGAAAATTGCTTGCAGCATTTCAATAAGTTTATGCAACTGCAGAAAACTCTAGTGGGGACATGTGGCATGTTTACTCAAATTTCCTTCTGATCGCTTCTTTAGTTGTTTTCTGTTACAAGGATATCATGCACCAGAAACAGAGCGAGCAACAATTAAGAAGGAGAAAGCGGTATAATGATTAGGTGTATGTTAGGTGTAAAATGCACAGAGCATATTGAACTGAAAGGAACAATTGAAAAGTAGATAGATATGTTACAAACATTGTATACGAGCGTAGTAGTATGAAAATATTCACAAGTAGCATCCAAGCAAAAGTTGATTGAAAGGTCGATCAAAGGAATTCCAACTGCCTCTCAATGACCTACGGATTCGCTCTAGAGTGCGGCTTGAAACAGTTTCCGTCCGGAACGGAATGCCCAATACACTTCGATACCCACGAGCTGGTGACCACTGTCGCAACCAGGAAGGTTTGTGGTTGTGGTCCGTACNCGTACGCCTCTTGCTAGTTGACTTGGATTCAGGGTTTTTAGCGAACTCCTCTAGATGAACTGCCGGTGGTTCACCGACCCGGTTATAGCCCCGGATGTTGAATTTTTGTCCTATCACTTTGGTGTGGAAACACTGCCACGGAAGACGGCTTCCCCAGCGGAGGCTGCTATTTGAGATGCTTGGCCATATGAGAGCTTTTGAGAGGTACAAGAGAGTGGTCACCAGTCACAGCCCGAGACAATCCGCCGACTATACTAAGGCCTTTGGGACTATTGTCATTCCGCCATTCGAGCATTGAACATCAGCTACTGTCGATCATCGTTCGAAATGTTTGTTACGCTTAGAATTCCGCTCACCTGGATAGTTGTGGTTTGTTGAATATAACTCTTTGGATCTGTCTTACATACAGTCTTTGTAAATTGATAATGCACGCTTTATCAAATAAGGGGTCATCAAACACATCTATAATCATTGAAAGCACCTACATCTGCGATCTAAAAATTAATTACTATTTCTCTTCATAGTAGTTGAAAATATTTTCTTATTCTAAACTGAAATGTATCGTTCGTCGCGGCTGGTAGTCAGGACAGAATTGCCCGTTGTATCGAGCGGGTTGGGCACCCCTGAAGTGGATACTGCTCAAATATTCCAATCGTTGTTTAATTCCTGATTTACCCACGGCTCCTCCTTGTTCAGCCCTTGTGACCCGTAACTTGTTTTTCACTCGCCCACGATCGTTGCCAAATGACTTTGTATGTGATCCACCATCGAAATAATTGCAAGTTCTGAAGCATCGTTAATCGCTGCGTCCGGGGACGTTCAATGTGACGACGCTCGTGCAGGTTGGTCAACAGGATTGCCTTATGCGCGCAGTTGAATCAATATCGATTGATATTTACTGCGTATCGGAAACTGAACTTCAAAATCCTACTAATGTAAACCAGTCAATCACTTCGAGTTTGTCTTCGAGGTACTTGCTTCTCGCATAAGGCGACCGCAAAGCTCTCTCTGTTGGTGAAACGGAGTATGGGTTGTGCTGCATGATTCAACTGTAGTCTCGTTTGTTGATTGGATATGCGCCAACAGTCGCTTATACGCAATACGGCTCCAGGGTTCCGTTAGTTTTCCAAAAGGGAAATGAAACCAAAAGAGTCTATCGATCATTACCACACACTACCACTTCGTTCGAGTGATACTCGTAACGGTTTTTCTCTCTTATTTTCTAACCAACTTACAAGTGGCTTTGCTCCTGGAAACAGCCCTGTCCTCTCACGAGGGTAGCGGCATCGATGTACTCCCAAGTTGTAGGCAGTCTGATCTGGAGTGTGCAGATGAAATCGTACTGCTAAGTGAAAATCCCGATAAGTTGAAAGCTTTTCTTAACGGCTAAATTGTTAGTGCAGATGTGTTTAGAACGTATTTCGTACAATCGAAGTGTTCAATGTTGCTGTAGGACTGGGTCTTTCGAGCTCCCAACCGCACCCTGACTGGGGAAGCAATAGAGAACGAAGACAGATTTCGCTATCTGGGCAGCTACATTTCACTAGGAGAACAAATCTCGGATGAAGTGTTGACACGTAAACAAATAGTTGGATTTGCTTTGGGCAATTTCAGATATTCATAGTACTATCGAGAGACTTGTAGTACGCAGACTGCATTAAACTACTGAGTGAAGATCCAGGTAGAATGCAGGCTTCTCTGCGTACTTTGCGTTCATGCAATTAGGGTCTGGTTTGTGTTTTCTATGGTAGAATACTGGCTTTTCCGCTGCCTGAAATGGCCTCCTCATCTATGTTACACATTCGTACTTTGTGTCCATTTAGGGTTCGTAATTGAGGTTCGCTTGACTCTTGCTCTGCGATGATGACGACCATTGCAGCTTCTTAAAGTAGTATGTTTCCGATTTCAGCTCTCATCCCTGCATCTCAACTTCACGTGTTGTCACCCAGTGCCTTCGAGCTCCGAGCACAGGCGTACAGTCTGGTCCGGGACCCGTTCCATCTACATTTCCTTATCGGCGTGTTCAGCGTTACGCTAGTGGCGATCAGTTGCCTTCTGCAAGTTATCCTGTCCCTTCGCACCCAGACATTCATGGAAGCACAACCCACTTAGGTTACACAGACTCGCCATTCCCTGCGCCGTTGGGCCCAAAGGCCGTGACAACGACGTTCATTCAAGATGATCCATCCCTGCGATCGACTTCTTATGCACAACATCATACCCCCATGGGAGGACGTTGTTTGTATACAGCACAAACCAGCCTTGGACCTTTGAACTCTTCTTCACCATATTGTGGGACTCAGGTAATGGGTACTCATCCAAAGATACGCGACTCATCGTCGGGCACGCAGCATCCCATGATGCCCACTGGACCCGTCATTCCTGATGAACGCACTTCCTCAACTGCCGCGAACTTCAACATGAATATCGATTGGCGACGGTTAGTTGTAGCAGTTGTATTTTTTTAATGTCCCGTTCATCTGCAGCTGTTATTTTATGCTTGCAATGCAAGTTAGTTAGTTACAACTATGTTGTGAGTAATTTTACTGTTACCCATCACCATTCACCAGGAAACATCTTTTGTCTCTGATCGACTTCAATAAATTTAGTAACAGCGCAATTGATATTGGTCATCACTCTCGCGTGCTCTCAATCAAATGTCTATGGAGATTAAATAGGTTGAAATGTTTCCAGAGGCATATCATTGTTCTACTTTACGTAATACGGTGTATCAGTGCTTACATGCCACGTTGAGTAGACTCTTCGGAAACTGCATAGCTGATCACTCCGGGCACGTTGCGCACAGGTGGGTTTAGATGAATAGGCACAACGGTTTCATTTGCACCAGTCATAGACAGGTTGCAAGCTTTATTTCTCCAGTTTGGATTTGCTTTCACTAACCAAGCTGCAATTTCAACATCTACAAAAGTATGCGAAAACTTTACTATGTTCGTTGGAAAGCAGAATAAGCCTCGTATTTCCTTAATCACGATAGTACCTGGCACCAGCTTTATACTTACACTCAGTGATTTACAGCATTAACGGTAAACCATACATTTTGTATTACACCAGCGTGTGAGGAATAGCAGTCGCGGCGAACTCCATAGTCACGAAGACCTGCTGTTCAGTGGTGGTCACCGACAACATAAGCCCAGGTGCTTGAAGTGGCGAACCACGCTAGGCCCCGCTTGCTTGGGTGTGGTATAGCACCGGGCTACAGCAAAGCTGCCTACCACCGAAATTGGGTGGCAGTGGCGGGGCTCAAACCTCGAATCACAGGGTCCAAAGCACGCCAGTGACAGTGACTAAACCACTGCGCCACCACCGGTCTTGCAATATACACCAATTTCATTAGCGTTCCAAAATAGTCATAAAGATAGTCCGCAGACTTAATTCTTGAGCCCCTTGGAGAGTATTTTACCATTTCCATACTAACCAGTATTCACCTTTTTCTGACTTCTCACCATTTTTGAGTTGGAACTCCACTTCTGCAATATTTGACTCGCATCCCCAGAATGACTTCCGCCTGTCTATTATTTTTGGAACGTGATCAGCGTAAAGCCCTTCACAATGACGCTTATTTGTTTAGAGTACGCATCCTTTTACAGATTGCCCCTGCTGTAGTTTTTTCGTCTCTTTTCCACAGTTAACACCCCGAATTTCGTTCTTCAAAGCGTGCTCCTCTTTTACCCCCTCGACCTAGATTTTCCGTGAGGCTAGGTAAAAGTACTAAGTCCCTCATAAAAGCCTGATCAGGTGTCTAACCTGTCTAACCTGCAAATTATTTTTACGGATATGTCGGATATGTTCATCTATATCCCTGGATTGGTTCCTACCTCCAGTCTTATTTAAATTTGTGGCCGAAGCTTTGATTTCCTTCCAATAAACGCGATAAACCACAAATGTTGGGGCTGCACTCAAGACTACCGATCGTACTGGAACACTCGAATCCAACCAAGCATCAGTATGCGCCAAGTTGTCTATGTGCTTCGATGGGCGTTCCAAACGCACGATACAACGACGGTTAGACTGTGCCTCCCAAGGCCTCACTATGGTTGGGGGTGGGTGTCTAGGGTTGCGGCTGGTCACCCTGTCCTTGCACCTCACGAGATGCCCCCATACGACCAAGCCTCTCAAATAGCCTTTGCTGAGGAAGCCTTACTCACTGCCTTCTCGCGGCGGAGGTGTTTTCCCACTAAAGTGAGAGGACGAAAAGCCGATATCCGGGGCTATCACCGGGTTGGTGGACCACTGGCAGTTCACCTAGGGGAGTTGGTCAAAAACCCTGATTCCAAACCAACCATGAGGAGACGTACGAACCACACCCACACCTTTTCGGTTGTGGCAGTGGTCACCGGCTCGATTGGGCACCTTGGACGTCTGACCCCGTCCGAAGGGCGTATGATCCGATGAACTGGACACCGGCTCCCAATGGACTGCGGTTTTCGCACACCGCACTGCCTTGCGGGTCAGGCTTTGGCTAGCCGAAGGCTCCGGTTGTGGATTCCTCAAGAAAAATTTACGTGCTCTGACGTGGATAATCTGGCAGTATTCAGCCCACAAGCCAATCATGGAACATTTTTCTTTTTATAAAGATAATTGTACCATGGTTTGTTTGGCACACAGTCTGTCCTCAGACAAGTGTGAAATATATAGACTGTTAAGCTGTCCAAACCAGCTTGTCTAACCGTCTTCCAAAACGCACTAGCTGAAGAGCTTGAACCAAACCCGCTGGATAACATCAATCATCATTGGTCACTTATCAAGAATGCTCTGCAATCTGCTGGCTTAGTTGTGGTCTGACACCTCACGCCGTGACACCTTGGATCTCTGCGGAGTCTCTACGCCTTCTCGACGCACGTCGGTTTACTCCGACTGGCAGCGAGCATAATGAAACGCGACTCCTAACGAGACGTGAACTTAATGCAAGCCTATGCAGAGACCNCAAAGCGCGTTAGAGATAGGACGTGCTGTCGCCATGGGTAATTCCCGTAAGCTGTTCCATCTCATCCGGGTCACCGGTAGGAAAGCCTTAGGTGTGAGCGAAACGATCTGCGAAGCTGACGGTTTGCTCATTCATAATCAACAGTGACGCCTTGAACGCTGGGCGGAGCACTTCAAAGCACAATTTAGTTGGCCACCCGCGCCAGCTTCTCACACAGCTATTCCGGCACACGTCCCATGGTCTGTTTCAACAGACCCACCTTCCGAGGCGGAAATCTGTAAGGAGATCCAAGCATTGGGACGTCATAAAGCGCCGGGCTCCTGTCAAGAAGTTTAAATTCCAACAACATCGGGTCGAATGATTCATATTTTTGTCGAAAATAAGCAAAAGAAGAAAAAGCCGCAACTGGGTAAGCCCCCGGGCCGAAGTAATCGTTCAGTGTTTTCGACCGGACGGCCCGACGTTTTTGATCGGTCAGACAGCGTAGTCAACCGGGCGATCCGACGACTCTGATTGGCTAATGATACCGAATGTTCTGAACGCACCCCAGGCAATAAATAGAACAAATACTAACTTGTAAAAAAGGAGGACACGCTTTTTTCTAATGTACTGTCTGGTGCCATTTTGATTATGTTCTCTTCTTCGGCTCGGAAGTTGGTGGTACGATAGCAATCTCAGCAACAGTCGGCATACAGCTCCGATGCCTTCCAAGCTCTATGTAAAGATGGTGGAATAAAGCTTGTTAGATAACTACAAGTTCAGTTTCCTAAAGTATGGAACACTGAGCAGGTCCCCTCCTCGTGGGGAGAGGGGGGTTGATTATGGTCCCCG